ACCTAAAATAATGGAGCTCCATCAAGCGTCTTGACTGTAGTCAGCCACCATGATTGATTCCGAGAGACAATTTCAAAATTAACTCAAGTAAGGCATTGATATCCATGAACAAGTACTGTGCGCACTTTCTATTTTGTGCACACATAGCAGTAGTCCGTGCCCACAGACTGGTTCCTCGTGCATAGTTACAGCGTGTGCACAAAGTCGGGTTTTTTTCTTCTTCAAATGTCATGTATGGGGCTCCGTGTATGTAACACATCTACCGCACACTTTGCTGCTCTCTAGTGGTCGACTTTATGGAGACATTCACTGGAAGCAATTTTTCAGCAACTTGCCCTTCTGGTCTCGCAGGACTACGAGTATCCCAACCACCCGCAGTCCACACAGCACCAGAAAAATGACCGCTGCCCACCACCCCCTCAGATGCTCCCAGAAAGGGCCTGTGAGGTGCCAGGCTGCCGCTCGGACTCAGAGTGTGAGCGCCATAAACGCTGCTGCTACAACGGCTGCATCTATGCCTGCCTGGAATCCGTTCAGCCCCCGCCAGGTGTGTGGAACCACCAAGTTCAATGCATTGATTTGTTCATGAATATTTATAACTATTTCCGTGTCTGTGTCATCACGAGTAGTCCTCGACTGGCTGGTGCAGCCCAAGCCTCGGTGGTTAGGGGGCAACGGTTGGCTACTAGATGGTCCAGAGGAAGTGCTGCAGGGTGAGTACATGAATGACCGGTTATTAGAAACATTGCATTGTCAGCCTGGGGCTTCTCCAGGCCATTATAAATCACGAACAAACAAGTGCAGAGCTCAACTAAATGTTAAACACGTCACAACTGCTGTCTATAAATGAATGGGCATCATCTACAGCAGATACAACAAATATTTAGAGTGAAGTTTCGAAAATGTATTCATTTCTTTCCAGTGAAGTTGAGCTGAGCCGCAAGAGTGATAGCGGGGAGTGGAGATGATTTAATCTCTCAGTGAACAACACTGATTCTGCGCTTAGTGATATTCGTTCACTGCAAAAAACATGTAGCACTCTGATTCTGACTTTCGTGATTCTAACAGTGTCCTCCTTGGGTGCAGTGGGAGTTTCTAACAACACTCCCCAAAATAAAAGAACGCACCATCCTTTTGAAGGCCTTTTCCCACTAGCACAGCGTAGTGTGCCATTGACAAATCTACTCATGTGCTGGCACACTGCAATGGTGCAGCAGACGGCAGCGCTTGAAGGAGGCACCTGCTGATGCGCTCAAATTGAAAAATGTTCCATTCGAGCAGAAGCGCGCTGGGATGACAGTTCAGCACATCCATTCGGAAAAATGGTTGCGCAGCACTTTCTGAGTGACAACAGTAATGCATTTTAATATGGTACGGTGAGAACATCTTGACTAATATGGAGGGAAAATGAGTAAAGCGATGTGCCAGTGTCCTGAACTCTGGGACATACGGTAAGACAAGTTTCATACTGTGACAAGGTACAGAAGGCACCGCGATGGATGCTGAGCATTACAAGGCCTGAAGCTCTATTTATCCTTTGCTTCGTGAAAAATGTTTCATTCAGCTAATGTTGCTTGTACTCTTGTGATTAATGTGTATTTGTGTATTTTTAACGGCCAGCCGAGGCGTGCAGTACAACAGAGGATGGCGATGAACCTCTCCACTGTCCTACGGGATATGAATGCCACATCATCAACCCAGGAAATCCTGCCGCTGGAATCCCCAACCGGGGACAGTGCATCAAGCAGCGTGCCAACTCTGGTAGAATTTGGATGCACTCTTGGAGACTTAAATACAGTACTCTTCTTCATTTGAATCGGGTGCTTGATGACCGAAAATGACATTTGCAATTGTGTCACCTGCTATTGCTCATGGAGTCCTATTCCTCTAAACTTTTAAATTGCTTCATCCATTTCTACATTACTTTCTGTCCTCTATTAAAAAGTCTGTAAAAAAAAGTAATTGCATTGATATTATTTATAACTATTTTGTAACCCAAAATTGGTAAATGCTTCATATGCACGTAAGGACTTTTGGTCAAATGCAAAGTTCACGTTGGAGTCAAAATCTTGTTTCTACTGTAGAGCCGCTATAAACTATGTGACATTTTTCAATCATATACTGCACACAAAAGTATGGTGCCTCTACTGCATTGAACTCCTCGCAGATTATGATACTGATTATGATACAACAGTATAGTAAACTGCTTTTGCTCGACTTATTTTGGCTCCATAAAAGAATTTTTCAATATTCACATGGATTTTGTCATCAAGAGAATACAATATTCAAGTGTGCTGTGATTGATTGAATGCTGAGATTTGACTTTTATACTGTCACCTCTTTTTGTTTCAGATGGACGGGGTCTAAGGCACAAATTTTTCAAGGACTACAAGGACTACTTAGGTAAGTGAGGTAATATGAACAAATGGGAGCACACGAGCATCACGACTACATGTGAAGCATTAAGAGTCCACCTGACCCGTTGCTTTGCCTTGCAGGTACCAGCACAAACAACGCAGGAGGCTACGAGAAGCATCACAAGCACATGGGATAAGCAACATGTACCCCCTTTTTTTTCCTGCTTTCAGACTACATTTTACATTTTATGTTGTAACCTCTCAAATTAAACTGACATCCCAGCTCCAGCACTTACACTTGCGTAAAGGCTGCTTTTCATCACACTTCAGTCAGAAGAGATTAAAAGCTACTACCTCCTCTATTCTCCTCACAAAGCCGTAACCTCAGGCACGTTACTATCTCACAGCCAAAGAAAGATGGAACTTTGACACGTTAAGTGTCATCTTTGAGTAAAGGAGAAGGAGAGAAGTAGTGAGGGTATCAATGCTGCTAACCAAATATCTCAAAAGGAAAAAAAGATTAATAATATATATTTTCCATTGTCCATGTATGTAGTTTTTATTCTTTCAACATAGCAATAATCTGTATTGAATAATAAATTGTGTGGAGGGGCTATTTTGTTCAAGAAATAATTAGAAATAGGGATGGGCATAATAAATGATGGTGTTAAATTGACTGTTGATTCATTCTGTCTTTCAAGGGGAAGTGAACTAAAAAAAATGTCTTTTCGTTAATATGTTCTGTGCGGCCCCACTAGGCTAAACACGGTATTGTGATTATGATTCCGTTTGTGGAATATGAATAAAGCAGCAAAATCCAACTGTTTTTATCCATCTCAGGGGGCGGCCATTTTGCCACTTGCTGTCAACTGAAAATGACATCACAGTTGCTCAGGGCTCAGGTAACAATCAGTTACATTTTCAGTGGAGAGCAAGTGGCAAAATGGCCACACCCTTAGATGGAGAAAAAATGGTGGCTTTTGCTGCTAACTTCATAGTTAATAAACACAATACTAATCAGTGATTGGCTAGCAACCAGTTCGGGGTTTACATCGCCTACAGCTCGAAGGCAGCTAGGATAGGCGCCAACACGCCCGCCACCCTCGTGAGGATAAGCGGATTATAAAATGGATGCATGGATGGACAATGTTAATCAGAATACAATGTTTAGACTTGTAGGACCTCATAGAAAATATTGTAAAAGAACATTTTTGATTTGACTTCCCCTTTATGAAAATGATACAAAATGGTGTGTGCTATGTGGCTGCAACGAGCAGAGGCACTGCTGACTTAGTCTCATTTAGTTTGTGATCTAAAGAGGACAACATGACATCAGCTTTGGAAAGATGAGACATTAATGCAGACCATAGTTTAGGAATTAGACTTTTGTTGATTGCTCATTTCTTCCATAATTGATTAAAGACATTTAGTCAAATGCAATCCCGATTTGGATATTTCCCCCAACTCCACCCTCTGGAATTTAAGTGTCAAATTCAAGGCCCAAAAATGAGATCTGGGCAGCAACAGCATTTTATCTATCGGAACTTCATATTTCTTGCAAATTGTCTTCACTTTTAACAAAACTGACATACAACTACAAGCTAATGCATGTATTTTTTGTTACCAGTCCCTCTTTCAAGTAAATTAGAAAATTGTTGAAGATACAATTTACTGGCTTCTGATTACAAAACTCGTCATCCATTATTTTGTTGTGTACACGTGTTAACATAAAATAATTATACTTTTATATGAGTTCAGTCATAACGGCCCTTAGACGGAAACCATAACCACGATATGGCCCGTGACAAAAAAATGCATATGACACTCCTGTTCTAGAGTCTCTTATTAGTGGACAAGTTTTGCTGATTACAATGAAACTACAGAGTGAGTGTTGTATATTTAGTACTATATATATATATATATATATGTGTGTGTGTGTGTGTGTATATGTATATGTGTATATATATATAATGTGTGCGTGTGCGTGTGTGTGTGTGTGTGTGCGTGTGTGTGTGTGTGTGTGTGTGTGTGTGTGTGTCAAGGTGTTATAAGGGGGCTCAGTTGGAGAAAAAGAAACACCATCTGGTTCTGAAAGATTTTCTTGCTCTCTGAAGGCCAAAAAGGCCGAATTTCCTGCCCTGAAAGCTGGAATGTTTTACAGGCAAACTGAACATTTCCACATGTGGTCGTAGTTATGTGTGTGTGTGTGTGTGTGTGTGTGTGTCAAGGTGTTATAAGGGGGCTCAGTTGGAGAAAAAGAAACACCATCTGGTTCTGAAAGATTTTCTTGCTCTCTGAAGGCCAAAAAGGCCGAATTTCCTGCCCTGAAAGCTGGAATGTTTTACAGGCAAACTGAACATTTCCACATGTGGTCGTAGTTATCGCTGAAGATCTTCCTAAATGAGCCAGATTCAAGATACCAACAACATATGAATCATGAATAATACACATTGTAGAAATTTGATTTGTGGACTTGAATTGCTTAACTATTGCAGCACGATCAATCAACTGGCCTGAAAACAGAAAAATGTGATTGTGCCTCATTGATGTTGCTCAGGTTCTTTTTGCCTGCAATAACTAACAGCAGAATAAGATGGCTACCAATACAAATGCACACAAGATGAATGTGTTGAAGAAAAGCCGTAACCATTACATGTGTGGTGCTGTCTTGGTTTTACTGAATAAAACACAACATGTGACATAAAAGATCAATGTGTCATGTTGATTTAAGGAGCTAAAGATGCCAGAGTGTAGTTCCGCATAAATTAGAACTGCTATTTTCTCATCAGTCTTCATTTTAACAATATCCAGGGCTGAAATACGAAAGTAAGATTAAATGTAAAAAAAATTGAACAAATCATATATTTTTTTCTAAAAAATATATGACTTGTTTTTTTTTTTTTTTTTGCAAAAAAAATATCAGATTTAATGTTGTTCCATAAACCGCGTTGCATTCTAACATACAAGCATATTGCATGAAGATGTTGGAGTACATCAAAGCGTAATTCATGCTTATTTTGCACTTTATAGTATGTGTTCAAATTCAAGTCCACGTGTGTCCAGTAGGTGTCAGTGTAATCGAAAGAAGACCTTCACTGACGCTTCCTGATGGGGCTTCACGCCTCCACACCTTCCTTGTGAATTCTTTCACGTCATCCCAGCCAAAATGTGTTCACTGTTCTTCCTTAGCAACAGTTTGGTGCACTTGGTTGAAATATATTTGGTTTGGTTCTTATTGGTATTAGAATTTTTTTTTTTTTTTTACATTTTATAGTTGCTTTTTCCATTTTCTTTTTTTTTTTAATTGGGGTGAAAAGGTTTAGAATTATACGTAAAATCAGATTTTCCTTTGAAATATACTCACTGACAGAATATTGTGTATACGCTAAACCAACTTTTTCCACCAACTCTTGGGTGCACCCAAGAACTTTTTTTTTTAATTTACTACCTTTTATTTTGTCAAATAATTGCAGGAAAAAAAAGTTATCTGGATCCATATACATTTTAAGTTGACTGTACATCTCTTTAAAAAATGTATCATGATCCAGATGAGTTTATTTTGTGCAACCACTTGACGAAATAATATTATAATACTGCATACTGTATTCAACAATATTTTCAGTGTATTAATGCGGAAGGTTTGATACACACAAAATTGCACAAATCACCATTGATAATACTATTTTACATTTTTTAAAAGGATATTCATTTTTGAGAAAACACTGATCACATCAATGATTTCTGCCAATAACTGGGAAACACATCATGATCAATGGCAACACTGTCTTGATAAACATCTGCCAGTGTTCACGTTTTCAAATGATCACTTCTTCCTAAAAAAAAAAATCACTATGTTTGTTACATCCCTGGTGAACTATTTCTAGATCAGCCCGACAGGCTACTCCTCGGGGTTCAGGTACTCCCCGAACTGGTTGCCAGCCAATCACAGGGGACACATAGATAAACAACAAACATTCACGCTCACAATCACACCTAAGAACAATTTAGAGTGATCGCTCAACCTCCCATGCATGTTTTTGGAATGTGGGAGAAAACCGGAGTACCCAGAGAAAACCCATGCAAGCATGGGGAGAACATGCAAACTCCAAACAGGAAAACCGGAGCCCGGATTCAAACCCTGCACCTCTGTACTGTGAAGCCGACGTGCTGACCAGTCGAGTGCCGTGTCGCCAGTGTCGAAATATTTTCAGAAAAATGTATGATTTGCTATGGTAAAACTTAATTTGATGAACAGGGTGGACTAGTACTTAGCACGTCTGCATCACTGTTCTGGGCTTTGTGGTTCTGTTGGCACATAGGTGTGTATTGCCAATTTTGGGGGATGCTGAAGCACAATTTGAGAGCGTTTAAGATTTTATTTCTGGAATGTCCCCTTTTCACAAGCTAGAGAAGCGTTAAAGCCATACATACAGTGCTTGTCAAGAAATATAGAGAGCTCCCCACTTTTGCCTGAAATTTTTTTAAATCCAGTAATCCTTCCCACTACCATAATTTTGTCCTGCATGAAAATGCCCAAATTAATAGGCTGACTAACTCCCCTGTATATATCCCGCAGTCGTGCAGTCAAGTTCATCCCTGATGAGTCCCTTCCGTATCGCGGGTGTGACACATCAGCCTCTGGTCCCCTTAAACCACCTTGTGCGTTTGTATATGGGGTTCGGTGTCAAAATGTGTCAGCGTCTTTGATCGTTGCCTCTTTTTTATTGAGTTGGAAAATGAGGATACTTCGATGCAGGAATAACGTTGAAAGAGGCTTTGATGATGAGCAATTCACACAACCGAAAAAAGTGACAACAAACCCCGTTCTGCCCATGAAGGGGAGGCTATGTTTAAAAGTTGAAAGATTTTGATTATATACATGTTGTGGACATTGGCTAGTGCTATCTATGTGCACCAAGTGCACTTGGCAGGTAGGGAGTGTGCATTTTTAAATTCTGATGAACCTCTGACCCTGATAAGGTTTCGCATCGCATCTTCGCATCTCCTGTTGACATCAGACCTGAATAAAAGCCAGCAATTCGTGAGAGCACTCACCTCTTCTGAACAATATGCTTGCACCAATGTCCCTGAGGTATTGATAGCATGATATCATTCACTACTAGGCTAATTGTGCTTATTCTCACTTCAACAATGTGTGAGTGTACAGCACAGTTATTTGTGCACCCTAGCTTTGTATTGCCTTCCCCAGCAGAACAGCCTCTGGCTTGTTGTTGGGGGTTGTCACATGGCTCGGGCAACGGGCACGTGAATCTCCATGCGGTAGCGTAGCAACATCCTCTGAGATGCGAATCGCTTTATATCTGCTTTAGCAAGCAATTTGGAAGTTTGTGTAGCACCCTGCCAAGTTGGTTCGGAGTGCTGGAGAAGCTAAAGATTAATTGGACATAGAAGGAATTGTGGCTCGCCACCCAGGGAGGTTTGTTAATGAATGCCTAGCTTGCATCGAGTGTCTGTTTTGCTTTAACAGTGAGTCATGCAATAGAGAACTGCGAAATAGCGTATGCCAACATCCTCCCCCATTGCGCCTTCTCTTTCTATCGCCATAGGCTCAGGAGAATTGTTGTGTAATAAAGTGTGAGGTGTTATCTAAAATGTTATATAAAAAGATCTGGTTGTTTACCATGTTTGACTCGCCAATTTATTCATATTGTAACA